TATGTGCTTACATCTGCTTTTATCTGCGATTGTTTGCATTTCGTTTGTCTATTTTTGTCGGATTTCATCCGCAAGCGTCTGCTTTTATCCGCGCTTACCGCGTCACCCTTTTTTTTATTTATATTTATATTTATTTTTCTTTTTGAAAAAAGCTGATATTTTGACGCGAGAATTTTCGATTGAAAATTAGGGTGCTTTTTTGATATTAAGTCAAAATAAGGCGAAATAATAAATATTTCAAATCAAATAAATTACAGTGTATTTGGGACATAAAAAGGTAAGTTTTCACCAAATTTCGTGGAAAAAAATTTGTTTTTGAAAAAGATAAAAATAAAAAACCAAAAACTTGGTTTTTTGAATTTTTCACATAAATTTTGAGGTTATGTAAAAAAATTATAATTACAAAAGTTGTAGATCCTTTTATTACCTACAACTTTGCCATTTAACTTTTTTCCATAGGACTTGTAGTTTTGCCGGAAATCGAGATAAACCATTTTTTTACCCTTAAACCCCCCCTCCCACTTCCACAACTCAGATCGCCCGTAATTTATTTTTCCTTTAATTTTTATTATATTCCCCTCCTTTTCCAATGGGTTTCATCCTACTGTTATTTTTTTCTCTTTTTGCCATTTTTAAAGGCTTCTGCACTGGTCTAACAGTGACACTGTTACAGTGTATATTCGAAATTAGTAAAATTTTGAAAAAAAACATACAACTTAGTAAATTTTTTTAATTATCTTTATTGATTATTTACGTTACATACAACTATGATATTTTAATTAACTTAAGGTAAACTTCAAAATTATAACTAAACTGAAAAAAAAATAAAAACTACAAAAGAAAACAATTTAAAATAGAAAAACTTTAAACAAATGTTCTAAAATATGCATAGTTAATAGAAATTAGCATGATTACTTGAATTTTTAGTTTTTTTGTGCTTTTTTTGTTTTAACTTTTTAACTACTGCCGTTTTTGTTTTGTCCTGAACAGTTCGGCTTTGGTAAAAACTTTTTCATTTTTTTTCTGTTTTATTTACTACTTCCGTTTGGACGCTTGAACTGCTCTGCTTTGTTAAAATTGTTTTGTAATATTCTCGATCTACCTTAGGCATCCAGGGAAACATTCTTCTTATAAGCTCAATAGAGCTTGTACTTAATTTTCAGGCAGTTTTACCATGTCACGAGATTGCTTTACTTGGACGATGTTATCGTTAGTTGCTCCCTTTCTCATCTCTGTCGAAGATTAACGGTTGTGAAGATGTTTTGTAATTTTTTTTTGAGCAAATTACGAAAATCAAACTGTTACGCCAATTTGCTTTCTATAGAAAATACCGCAAGTCCTGTTAATGTCATTTCTGAAATAGTCGAACGTAAGTAGTTCTTTATTAACTTTAAATTTGAAAAGTTGCGCTCTCTACTTGCTACTGTCACAGGTAAAGTCAGTAATATTCGCAATTCAATGGCAACATTTGGCATACAAAATCGTGACGTGCTATATACTTCAATAGCTCAAAAGGAACTATTTTGGGTTTAATCAATTGTGAAAGAGCTAACATTCATTATACAATTCTAAAGCGTCAATGTCTAAACTGTCTCCGAAAATCAATGAAGCAGACAACTCCTTGCAATGCTTTAAAAGATCTCCTCGAGTAAACATTTTTTTATTGCACCAATATCAAACAAGAAATTGGAATTATCTGCATAGTGTTCTAAACGGTCTTCAATTGAGTTAATAGTTTTATCCAAAATCGTAAAAACAAACCAATTTTTTTTACTGTGTATGTCCTCAAAATTTCAAGAAAAGTTACGTAAGCAATTTGTAGAGCGCTACCTAATACGATTTTAGCTTAAAACTTAAAACTCTATTATCTTGGAATCGTATTTTTAAAGTGGCCTTGTGGTGAGCACGATTTCTTAGAAACCAATTTACTGATCAATCTGAAATTTCCAGATATGTTCCTTATTTTCAGATATGTTCCTAATTGCAATGGCTACCTTGCAACGATTTTTATTTAGACAAAAATTTCTATTTTTTCCGGTTTGGAAATATCAATTTTTTTGGGAAAATTATCGCCATTTAGGCGTAAACCCTTTTGACATGATTTTTTTTACAAATGCATCAAAACAAACTATTCGATACTAATAGAGGGTGTCCGGAAATAACGTTAATATATTTCGGGGGATGATTCTACACGTAAAAATAAAAGATGTCCGAAAATGCCTTCTGGGGGCGCTATAGAAATTTTAAACTGTTTCGCAAAATCAGGGTACTTTAGAAACGGTTAGTGTTAAAATAATAATTCTTTATTTCTGGGGTAATTTTTGGACAATAAATCATCTGGTGGTATCAAATTAGAAAAATGACGACCATAGGCGTGCGAAACAGTGGCTACTTTTTTGTGGAGTTTTTTAATTCTCGATCTTGTAATAAGTACAATTATCCAGATAATTTTACAGAAACAATTCTCTAGAGTTTTTACGTAAAAAAGGTGCCCTTGTTTCAAAGTCATGGAGCCAACCGTTTTCGAGAAAAACGGTATTAAAAATGTCTTGTCACAAAAAATCATAAACTCTAGTTCTTAAACACAGTAAATGAACTACAACAATAACGCAATTTATTTCCAATTTTCAACAATTCTTATTTTAGTAAATGTTTTCGAAAAATCCAGGTTTATTTCTTGTTTATAGAAGCATTTACAACCCGCGGCATCAATTCCTCAACGTTATGAATTGGGACTGCATACACCAATGATTTTAAATATCCTCACACACAGAAGTCGAGTGGATTTAAATATGGAGAATGAGGCCATGGCCCTTCTTGTCCTATTCTTCGGGCGGTGTAAACTTCATATAAATGTTTCCTTACTTTCTTAAAATGAATTAGTCAAAAATGACTAGTTACTACAGTTATTAGTGGCTGCTTTTTCACTTATACCATGGTAAATCATGGTATCCCACACACTTGACAGCCAATTCTTATGTAAAATTTTCCCCTGAATCCGAAAATACCGTCAAAAATTATGAAAGTAGACCAGTTTTTGAGATATATGAAAAATTGACTATAATTTAAAAACTGTTATACTTTTATACCTTTTCAGATTTAGGGGACAATTTTACATGAAAATTGCTAAATATTTGGGATACAAATTGCTATTAACAAGAATTATTAGTGGCTGCTTTTCCGCTATGACAATTAGTCATTTATGACTAATTCATTTTTAGAGAGTACGTTCGCAGAAAAATGGAGTGGGGAGCCATCATGCATACAAAACATCGACAATCTTAAATGGTAGGGAACGTCATCAAGGAGGTTTATGAAATCGTTTTGGAGATTACCGTTCAGTTAATTTAGTAAGACGTGAGGACCCATCAAGAAATCACCAATTATTCCTGCCTTGACTCAATAAATGCAAGCGGATTTTTATCAACCCATGCACGACTATTATGAAAATTAATAATTATTAATGAAATTCAATCCCCATTAAATCCGGCTTCGTCAGTAAAAGTATTTTTTTCAATACATTTACAAAACGTTCATTTGGTACTGCTTGATACCTTTAATTTTGATTCTTTAAGTGTAAGAAGGGATAAAATCTGTATAACCTTTTTATTTAAATTAATGTTATAGACTGTAGTAACTTACTGAGACAATTAAATTGTTATGTACCAGGACCTAATAATAGGCAAACATTAGTATTTAAGTGTCCAAGGGCACGTATCAACATGTTAGTAAGGTCGCCGATATATAAAATGTCCCTAACTTTGAATAAAGTAGCAAGTCTTTGTGATATTAATTTTTCTAGCCTGAGAAGTATACTTATATATACTACAATGTTTTTAGCCATATAATTATTATATTTATCAACAGTTTCTGTTATCTACTGTTTAAACACTACTTTATATATATTATAATATTAATTGTGTTTGTATCTACTGAAATATTGTTATTTGAACGTCCTTTATTGTGAAGACTGTTGGGCAATTAATAAATTATTATTATTATTATTTTGTTCTTAACCAGCGACAAAATTCTAGTCTACGTGGAAGATCATGAGGATTTAAAGCTTGTACTATCTCAGATAGTACAAGCTTTAAATCCTCCAGATAGTCTATCTGTAAATGGTAGGGATATAGCAGGTATTCGTAAATTATTTCCCAAAGTGTACTTTTTAAAACGTCCTCTTGCAAAGCAATTCTTTAAGTGCTTGTCCCAGGATTAGCAGCAACTACTTTCAGGACCGTTTCTTCGTTTTCTACTGTTTGACTTGTTCGATTTCTTATGCCATAATGTTAACGGACGTTTACCAGTTTACATCAAAGACTGTATAAAACTTGCACTTTAAAAGTAAACAAAGGTGATTGCGGGAGAAATCGAACACCTTAAACAGTAGAAAACGAAGAAACGGTCCTGAAAGTAGTTGCTGCTAATCCTGGGACAAGCACTTGAAGAATTGATGATTATGGTATACCCGGGAGCATTTTCGTATCCAGTACACCGCAATCGGGTAACGTCGTATTAACCGAGGTCTGTCTTAAAACGAGGAAATGCCCTGAAACTCCTAAAAATTCAAAAAAATCAAAACCCAACCCAAAATATATTAACTTTATTTCCGGACACCCTGTATGTAAGTTAATAAAACAGCCTATTTAAATAATAGCCTAATACATAAAGATTTATAAAAACCATTTTAGTTACTCTCACTGGTGTTAAAATTAAATAACTCCTACAATTCTGCAAATTCGAAAAAAGTGATTTTTTGTCTTAGATTTTCGCAAGAAATCGACTTCTTTCGTTAAAAAAATTTGGCCATTTTTTCTGTTTTTACAGACATTCACAACCTTTCTACAGTCAACTTAAAGAAAGTTATTATTATATTATAATTATTATTATAATTATGAATTAATCAAAGGAAATAAAAATATAAAAACAAAATTATTAATCCACATTATGTACAAGGAGAATTTCCAGAAAAAATATTGACTATTTACCACGCATATTACATGATTAGGTACAGCAAATTAAAAGGTTTTGTAGCATTTCGCCAATATATTCTGGCCTTCCACAAATATGTGAATGAACCCTCCATTTTTTCAAAATTCTGCAGCCTTTTTGTCATTACCCAGTAAGTAAAGAGTTGTCACTTCTTTATTTATTATACTTAAATTGAAGATTTAAAGTGCATATTGATTCACTATACCTGCTCCAAACCTATTAATAAATATGTAATTGCAGTTGGCTTTGTCCGCAGGTCCGTCGGTGCCAATTCCAGAGACGAAGTGTCTGTGCATGTGACGCCGCGTCCCTTCGAAGACGAGGCGCCGTCGGCGTCGCTTCGAGGTGCCGTCGACAAGAGCGTCGCCTGCAAGTTTTACCAGCGGCTGCTGTTGAACGCTTGGCGCCGATCGCGGTACCAACTCACCACCATCACTGAATCATTTAATAGGCAAAAGGAACAGGTTTGTTGGTTTATGTTATTACTCAGAAATGGTCTGTAATTTTGGGTTGCTGGTTAGTTTTAGTTTTAAGCTATGAACTGTGAGTTGTGCACAAAAAAAATCAAGAAGTTAACATATTTTGAGGTACCGTAAACACGGGTGACTTTGCACCCCGCGGGTGACTTTAACCCATTTATGAAAAATCTTTTCGCGCTCGATAAAATTAACATTTATAATTTGTTGGTCTAAACCTGTCAATTGAGCGATTCTATTGAGTTTATATTACAGGAAAATCAGTGTTTTAAAGAAAGAAATGGGATTTATTACACTTTAAAATTGTATATATCGTATCAGTGCAAAACTCTTAGAAATACACGCGTTACAATTTCTATATTATGCGCAATCCATTGGAATGATGATCCTTGGTTAACTAAAGGTCGATTTTTTATTTTTTTTATTGGTAATTCCTTGCAATAGATTTATGTCGCTGCTAACACGTGTCTAATAAAAATAAAATATAATATTACATTCATTTTATACTGAAAAAACACTGTGAGACAAAGTAACCCGCAACCAGGGGGTAACTTTGCACACCCAGTTTTTAATGTTTATTTTTGAAACTCAGCCCTATGTAATATTATAACATAGTTATTATGAAAGAGCAACTCAAGACTCAAATTTTGGTATACAAAATGTAATGTTTATGATTGTTAAAACCACAAAAATTTTAAGCTGAAGTTTGAAAGTGAGCCAAAGCCACCCGTGTTTACGGTAACGAGAAAATTACAGAATTTCAATTAAAAAAATATACTTCAGTATACTACAGTGTGTCCCCGGATTGACATTCAGATAGGTGTAATATACCAAAAAAAAATATATTAGTGGACTTTCATTTTCTGCAGTCGCGGCCTGCTTGACCTAAAATGAATTTTAAAAATATATAAATAAATATTGTCTTCTACAATTTATTCTTAACATTTTATCTGACCAGTACCTACAATTTTGTGAAGAAACAACTCCGTTGATTTGATTTGATGGGAAGCCTCTGCAGGCAGCCGGTTGGCATACATGCGGAAGTGGTTGCAAGTCCAATTCCTGATCTTAGCTTTCACCAGACAGAAGGCAAGTAGTATGCTTCCTCGTTGCAGACTACCCAGCAGGTTCTGATCCTATAAAGGCGGTGTTACTTCCCTTACGAGCCAGCTGGTCTGCTTCCTAGTTGCCTTTGATACCTCGATGACCCGGTACCCAGACAAGGTTGACTCAATTCTAGGGTTTTCATGCAGTCCAGCGTAAGTCTCGAGTTGACCCTTTCTGAAAACAGAGCCCGGAGTGCAGCTTGACTGTCAATTCCGTTAGTGGTAAATGCTTCTTCGTCTGAAAAAATAATGTCTTTCCTTGAGACACGGAGTTCAATCGTTATCCTTCGTAGCGTCGTTTGGATTCAAATTGTGACGAAAAGTAGGTTTGTACCTTATTCATCTTATATATTTTTTGCAAATGAGATTTGGTTACGCCAATTTCTCATTCTTTTGATTTTCAACGGTGCCTGTCCCTAAAAATTGTTCGCAATACTTTTAACGAAAACGTCCCTTAATTAAACCACTGAAAACTTTTGTTTTCTAACCCTTTCAAGCTAATTTGCCCCATTGTAGCATTGTACAATAAATATGTTTTGCTCAAGGCTCAAGCATTTTGATTAATTTTAACGTTTACACCAATTATAATTATTAATGTCAAATCTTTGATACTTCACAGTTTTAATGCAAAGCACACTTGTGTTAAAGAATAAAAGGCTGTTTACTTTAATTTGTAGTATTACTTTTTTTGTTTATATTCAATGAAAGTTGGGATACCTATGGCTCTAATTTTCAATGCAAAATATTTTATCCAAATGGAATTTTTCCTTAAAATTAACTTGGAACTGTAATTTGGTGAAAATTCATTTTAGGTAAAGTAGACGAGAACTGCAGAAAATGAAAGCCATACTAAAATTGTTTTGGTATGTTATACCTACATATCTTAAAGATTTTGAGTCAAAGTCAATCCGGGGACACTGAAAAAAATGTACTTTTAATATATTTGGATATTATGCAATTAAAGATTTTCCCGCTAGATCAGCTCTCTCCGTTTTAGAAACCTAATTTTAATTATCATTTTTACGTTATTAATGCTCATGTCCTTGTTTAAGGTAACATCTTCTAGAGGTGCACCACTTTGTACTTACACAAAAAAGTTATTTATTTTAAAATTTTGGGGGCAGTGTAGTTCAACATATTTCGGGTGTAGTAAAAATACCAAAATTTATCAGTAAACTAGGGATCTGTATAAAACGGCATGAGGTGCCTCTTTTCCAACGTGGAAAATCGGCGCAAGGAAACAGAGGCCTATGCGGGGCCCGGGAGCGAGGAGGCAATGGGGCAATACGTCTCTTATACTCATATACTTATACTCACTCAAAATAAGAAGTCGATGTTTTAACATTTAAGCTGGATTTATCCAGCATTTAACATAATGGTTGCATAGCATAGTGTCAACGTGTCAACGTTGTATACAATTAAATAGTGTTTACAAGTAAAGTTTAATTAATAATTTAATGTAACGTAACGTAATTTAATACCATTTAAAAAAAATTGCCATTTATACAACATTTAGTACATGGTGTTGAAAACGATGTTGGCAAGACTGTGGTTGACTGAATGATAATTATTTTTTCTTACTACCTCGACTCAAAATACGTTGTTTCGTCCCCGATTCCACGGCAGAAAGTTAACGTTTTATGCATTGGTCAAGCTATACGCGCACACTCTAATAGCGGGAGTAAAAATTTTTTAGTCGTGTGCTTCATTCAAATTTCGTACTGCCAACATGAGAAACACAAAAATATGACAGTTTTAAACCATAATTTTCCAATTATAACAACAAATAAACAATTTATGTTTTTACTTTTTTACTTTTTATGTTGTTTTAAGTGTTTAATGGTACTTTTATTTGTTATAAAGTAGTAATTTGTTAATTAAAATACAACCTTTTATTTTTACTGTATTGGCACCGCTGAATTCACGGCCTACTGTTATTTATTTATCAAGCTCTTCAAATGGAGATAGGTACATAAATACACATTTAATTTTTTCCCGTATTTTCGGCCGGGTTGTATTTTCGGCCGAGGTAGTAAGAAAAATAGTATACACTACACGGGCAGAAAGTGTAAGAGCCCTGAACTGCGCGCCATGATGCCCGAAGCCCCAGTGCAGGAATCTCACACTTTCTGCCCTTGTAGTGTAATATACTATTACTTTTAAGCACAAAACCAAAGATTAAATATTAAATATACTTTAGAAAAGTATATTTAATCTTTGACAAAACAATATAACTAACCTTTATAGGTAATTATCTTAACTTTTAAGCAAAAAACACTATAACTAACCTTTGTAAATATTCGATGGCAAATTTTGTTGTTGTAAACAAGGTTGGCATTATGCCACGCAAGACCAAATTCATTTTCATGTAATAATTTAAGTTACAAGTTAAAAGTTGGCCAACTTTACCTTACATTACGTTACATTATATGCTGGCTAAACGCATCCATAGGGTTATACAGTTTTAACTTTTAAATTAAATTACGTTACGTTACATTACATTACATTAAATGCTGGCTAAATCCACCTTTATTAAATCAAAAGTTGATTTAAAAAAGGGTAAATCGTAAAATTTTATTATAAATTATGTAAATTTTATTTATTCATTCATTTTTAGTAATTTATAGCAACAAATCAAGAATGTTTATTGAAATAAATTGAATTAAAAATAACAGTAAAAAATATTTTAAAACAGTAACTTAAAATAAAAAATAAAAATATTTTAGAACAGGATCCTACATTTAAACCATTTAAAGGGCCGTTCAAATATTAGATAAGCAGATTTACTACAATTATTTACCACCCCTTCCCCCTTGTCAAAAGTAATCAAAGCATTATTTGTATTTGTTTATTAAATAGTGATACTGTTAAGTTTATACAAATCGTCTTTTATTTTTAACCACTAAGTTCGCGCGCGTTCAGCAGTGCAGTAGCGTGGGCCCCATGATGTATTCTATATTATTTTCAAGCTTAAGAATTGAACTTTTATTTGAAATAAATTAAAAAATAACTTATTTTGAAAAAAATAAAAAAACTGTTTGATTCGCAAAATCTTTGCGAAAAAGGTTTTTTAAAAGAAGACGCAAAAATCTATAAAAGTCAGTATAAACCTACAGAAATTTGATAAAATAGTGTGATATAAAGCTAATAATTTCTGAAAAAAACCTGACAGATAAAAGTAAAAAATTCGCGACTCTGTATTTAAACAACAAATGACACTAGGACAAAATCCTTTTGTACTTTTATTACTAGAAATTCATACAATAAAACTGAAAAATTTCAAGAAGATCGGTGGCATAAAAGTTTTATGATAAAACGTTTTTACCTGGTACACTTGGCATATTTTGCTTCATATATGTTTAATATTCTTAAGTCAGTAAAATCTAAATAATTTTGCAATAATAATTATAACATACAATTTGTCGTGTAAAATTAGCATGATATATTAATTAGCAAAAATATCGGTTACTATTTATTTTGTTTTAAATACGAATTTTATTAATAATAACGTTTATAATTTACGGTTGCAATAAAATGTATATTAACAGGCCCTGCTTTGGCCCACTGCCAGTGAATAATTTTTAAATTGCTGTTTATTCTGGAGATAGGTACTAACTAAAACTAAATATAAATCGCTGAGTTTTGTCCAGGGATAGCGTTGTAACATTTTAAAATTGAATTATATCTTGTACAAATAATAAACAAATTAAAAGTGTCAAAATATTGCACTGTATTTTGTAACTAATATAAAAAATTGTTTAATGCTTAATTTAACAACATAATATGTATGCTGTATTATTTTTAATACAGGTTAATGTCACACAGGTAGGTACTACCAAAATATATTTTTATTTGATTTAAATCCAATGTAAACAGGAACTG